TGAATCACTAGTTAGTCACAAGGTGATAAGACTACTGCAAAAACTCTCTTCACTCTGTTCAACCAGTTATTGTAAGTTCTGGACAAAAATGTGTCCATGGTTGTTCGCTCATGTATTCGAAGAGTTTCAGTTGCCTGAATTTAACCAAACCTCAAGTCCCTCTGAGAGCACAGGTTCATCTACAGAACACTGACCCGTGGGGAAAAATGAAGAAAATTCTCTTTCTTATGAAAGTAAAGATTCATTAATGATGTTTCTTTAACTGATAGCCTGAAAACACTTTGTCCCTCGTCGTCCTTCAGTAAAGACCCTCAGAAACTCCACTGTCTGCTAATTACCTCCAACCCAAACAGCGTGCACATATGCGTTACCCATAGCAACCACACTCCTCATTGCTTCCCATGAAGCTACTCAGACTGAATACAAAGATAAATCTTGCAGCTACATAAGATGGAAAAATCAACAGAAGTGTGTCTGTTTGTGTATGTGTGTTTTGGTAGGATAGCTTTGACCAAGGCTCAGCAGCAGCTCCACTGCCACAGTACAACTCTATTACAATTATAGTTTCAGTAAGCTGCAGCCATCTCAGGAATTGGTCTATCACTCTGCAACAGAACTACTTTCTCCTCATCTCACCATCCGTGCCCTGTCAGCACAGACACTAACATTATTCAGTGTTATTCTGAGCAGTGGGGTTTCAAGGTAAGTCTAGCTGCGAGGAAGCCACAGGGAACAACACAGGCACTAGCATTAGACAATCAGTGCTTAATTATCACAGTCTTTGTCCCTATGTTTCATAAGTGAAGAATGTGTCATTCCAGTACAAATACTCAATATACCTATTTTAGTACAAATAGAAATGGAAAATGTAATGGTCCTAGATAGATACAGACAGATACAGCTATGGCTGAGAAATAGGCATTTGCCTGTAATATTTCATTACTTACTTTTCTAAATTGAAATCTTCAAATAGATCAGTATCTATGGTCCCAGAGACTTTGGCACTTTTGGCTGTGGGTAAGTTTTTTCTTTTTTTTTAAATAAAGGTGTTTTATCCTGCATTTATTCTCTATACAATATCTTAAAATATGGCTTCTGTTTTATGAAAAAAATATTTTGTTAATGAACACTAGCAATAAACATGTCCACTGGGGTTTATTTCAATAGATTTGAGAAATGGTATCTTGGTGCTGGTTGCAGCTCTACAAACAGATTATGGATTATCAATGAGAGCTGGGTGCTGCTACTAGCAAAGTACTCCTACTGTGCATCAACGCCAGACTTCACCCTCTACTAACTCAATTACAAAACAAACTTTCTGGAGAAAGGCTGGAGAGCAACTGATACAAAAAAAAACAACAAAAAAAACATAGTAGCTAGTTTTGCGTAGGTCGTCATATAATGACCACCCATCACTGTCAATGTCTGCCTCATATCAGTATTTTTAAAAGATGTTTTCTTACTACTTAGTCATTACAAGGAAGTGAAGTTATAAAAGACTCGGTCGCTACGTGACCCTCACAAGAAGTACAGCACCTTTGCCTTGAGATACCAAGAAACAAGTAACACAAGAAGAACAAAGAATCCACCATGATCCTCTCTGTTCCTCTCTGTGCTGCTAGATGCAACAGAGTCACAAACACTCTCCAACCCAATGGGAAACCAAGGGATAATTAAGTACTACTAAAAAATGTGTTTATCTGGATTCATGGGCTTTAACATTAATTATGCATGAGGCTCCAAGTGTGTACGCCATTAACATAATGTCAGCAATTTACACTGCTTATTTTGTGTGAGAACAGGAAAGGTTAACACTGCAGCAACCACGAGCTCCAACAGGCTTCAAAGGGGGACGGCTGAATTTAGATCAGTTTTAGAATCATACCTGAATCAGTGTTTCATCAAGCTGAAACAATTTCTAAATAGTCCACGGTGGTGCCCTCTGAGTTCCTACACCTTAACACTACACATACTATTTTCAATTAATTACAAATGGATCTATAAATATTTTACACTTATTACAATCATCCATCAAATTATTACAGATATCTTCTTAATTTACTATAAACCTATTCCAACCCAGTATAATGCATCCACCACACTCACTTTAATCCCACAACAAATTCCAAAGATATTGCAAATAAATTATAATTAGGTTCTTAACCAACACACTGTTGAAAGAAACAAAATGAAAGCAGAGCTATTTGTCAAAATCCACTAGAAACTTCAGCTACCTTTATAAAGATCACTCTTTGCTCATACCTAGCAGATCTTTCTATGTTTTTGTGGCTGTGTTTGGGGAATACAGGTCTGCTTTTAGAGGGGAAAAAGTGATCTGAAGGCTGAATCCCCTCCTGAGCAACTGGAACTCTTCTCTGGAGACTACGCAGACCTTAGCAGGCAGGCGGCAATCACAACCTATCAGCATCTCTGCTGCTCTAGCATGGGCAGAATACAAAGCAGTGGATCAGACAGAAAAGAGAATTGGGGCAGAAATAGATTTTTCCTCTTCGTTTGAATTCAGCTGGGTGGATCGCTACTTGGCTGAGCTGTAGCTGAGAACTCACAACCAACTACTACACTGATAGTTTCACACTCTTGCTGTGACTGGTAAACTAGCCTATTCTAGCTGACATCATTTGTAGGTCAATCAGGGTTTCACCCACATGCATTCCCATGACTTACAGGGTCCAGGGTACGCTGATGTGGTGGTGAATGCAGTTTTACAAATCCAGCAATAGAGTCGTTTGTGGTGTCGTAAAGAAAGTGGGTAAGTGATGCAAGAGTGTGGTGGTTGTGTGATTTGTCATTAAGATGCCCTCAGGGCAGAGCAGGACAGGCTCTACCAACAATATGATTAGCTAGCTTTCATTTGATAGCAGCAGGCAGCAGTCCCAGGGATGGAGCTAAAAACAGACTAACAAGGGAATAAAGGGAAAGTGGTAGATTGTTTCAGGAGCAACAAATTACCAGTCAGGTTTTTCAAGGGTGTCACACTGTAGCAGGAAGAATACCTTAAAATAATCAGTCACAACTCAAATGGTTGGCTACATGACATTTCTCATTTTTCCTTATAACCAAGGGACTTGCTCTGTCATTTTGAGTAATTCTGTGTGTCACAGTCATGTCCTAGCATACTGGCCGAAGTATTTTATATTTTGGTAGATACAGTACTTCCCTCACCACCTGGCCTCCGATTATAATTTATATGCAGCCTTAATTTACAATATTGCCCTCATTTTCTCACATACTGGCATCAATTACTATCTCAAAAAATATAATATAGTATAATATAGTACAGTATACATGTACAAGAAAAATACACTATATACACATAAATACGATATATACTATTCTGAATTCCCCATAGATACTACACTTTCCATATATACAGTTACACAACATTCTTATTTTCTGTCCGGCACTATCGCATTTACCTAAACCAATTATTGCCCTCCACCCTCCGTTGTTTTTTTTTTTACAGCAGTAGGCCTTTCTCTGTAATTCTAAAATAAAATGCTTCAGGCGCTAATTATGCGAATCCTGTTAAAAGCAGATGTTGTTGTTCCCCACCCAGCAATCCAGCGTCTGTTAATGACAATTCACTGTGAGGATAAGAGGATCGGTACAAGTGGACAGTCCTGAGGGGGTTAACTGATTTAGTGTGGAGAAAGAAATATAGCTGTGTCCAGTGGTTTACAGGGATGTCAGCATCTATCTCCTGGACCTGGCGAGGAGACTGGAAATTGCACTGTACAAATACAGAAACTGTGGAGAATACATGCACAGTGGCAAAGGAGTTGATGTCTTGCTTTGGAAAACGAATGTGTTGTAATGTGTTGTGCCTGTTGCTGTGTTACAAAGTTGTGTTGTTGTACTATCTTGTGTACTGTGTGTTGAACTGTTGCACTATTGTCAGTTGCACTGCGATGTGTAAAGCCAAATAGCTACTATATGTCAAGGCTGAAAAAAATCCAGTAACAATAAATCTCTCAATATTCATTCATTGAACTAAACATGATGTAAGCTTACAGTTTTGGTAAGGATCCATTAAAGCTACTTTTCACTGATTTTTTTTTATTTTTTAAAATACTGACATAGTATCACCCTGTAGCTCTGTTTTGGTCCCCACCAACTTCTTCCACTATTTTCACTGGCTAATAGCCAACCCCATCCTTAATTTGGTGCTGAGCAGGTGGCACAGTGGTACAGTGAGTTTATCAGAGCTGAAAAGTGAGCTGGAAACGTGGCTGATGACAGCGGTGAAAGTGAATCTAAACAGGAAGTTTAAAAGATGCTGAAATGCTCTGTAGAACTGAGGGGAACTGCAGAGTCATGTGATAGTCACCTATGGGTTTGTCACTACGAACCACCACTTTCACATACACAAAGCTATTTAAGGCATTGCTAATATAAAAATATTGATTATAGCAGCTTTACATTTGGTTATTAAAGACTTGTGACCGAGGGATGTACAGCATTTACTGGACCTGTCAGTGCTCTCTGGGGGACAAACTATGTAACTGCGACACCTAAAAAAAATAAAAAGATCTTTGGCATTCATTTCTGTACTGCAGCTGGCCTGCAGATCTATCAGTTGAGCTCTAGTATTGTGTGGTCATTCTTGTTCAAATCGGATGTATTCTGCTGGAAACAATGTGAGAAAAAAGATGAAAACTAAAAGGTGTAAACTGATCTGACTGTGGAGACATCTCTATCTGTTTCTCGTCAGTAATTGTTCTCTCTCGCTGTCTCTGGCCTCCCTCCTTTTTTTTAAGCTACACACACACACACAC